TCCCCACTATGCTGCTTGGGTTTTTCCTTATATTGGGTGTACAGCATTTTCATTTGCAAATTAAAAATCTAAAAGTTTATGAGTAAGTTAAAATTTTCCATCTGGCTTCCCTGTTACACAGCCTAACTAAAAATGTGTGCGTGTGTATACACATGTATTTTTTTATTTATCTATTTAAACAATTGTAGTTTTAAAGTTTTATTTTTAGCTTTATGACCTGGTAAAATTTATTGCAGTAATGAGTGATTCAATATATAGATGTAAAGCAGTTCTTTAAACTCATATTCAACTAGTATTTATCAAATAAATAGTTCTTATCCAACTAGAAATACAATTTTAAACATACGCTTTTATATAAACCATAATACGTATCCTGGAAAATTAGATTAAGTGGTGAGTTTGTTTAAAGTATTTTGGTTTTCAGAATTGAAATTTTTTTAATCTTGGCCTCTATGGGGCCATGAGTCCTGAGTGCCCTCAGAACAAAATGTCCAACTTTCATGCACTTTTTTAAAAAACAAAAACTGTCATTACACAGGCATTCACGAAAACCCAGAGGAATTCCTGTTGCCTGTTCTCCATAGAGACATTCATCCACTTGAAAAAAGTCTTCGGTTAGCCTTAAACTTTGAGAAATGTAATTGATCAGACATTGATGTCAGTCACCGTAAAATCAGAGAATATTCCTACAGCAAAACAAACAACAATAACAAGACAACAATTTTTTTTGAGACCCACTTGGAATAAAATCACAAAGTTAATACCCAGTTGTAGGTGGATGTAATCCCTTAACAAACTGAACCAAACAAATATTTTTGAAGTATCTTTTGAGCCAGCCTTCTTTTACGCAGATTGTACTTTTAGAACATAAAGAAAATTTTATGCAAGACAAGATCCCCTGTGTGGTCTCCGTCTATTCTGAGCATACATCTTCTGTTCTCCTTCACCTTTTATTTTTCTTATCCACTTCTTGCCCTCCAACCCGCACACCAGCTAGCTCACACGAGGTCCGCTCTGTCTGCGTTTCTGCATCACGTCTTGCCGCACTCTTTCCCCAGGGCACGTCTGTTTTCTCCTTAGCATTTGGCACAACACCTGCCTTGTGGGAGGAGAGGCCGGGCAGGGTGCGATTCAGCGCCAGGGTTTGGAGGCAGCGACCTGGCAGTCGTTTCTCCAGGTATCATAAGGAGCTAAGAGCAAATCCATTTGTAAGGGTCAGCGAGTTCTGGTATGTGATCCCTGTTGTTCACGAGAGGGTCTGCCCTGGTGTTTGTCGGTTGGATGAAGTCGTTCACTCTCACCTTGCCTTTGACGCTCCTTGATTTGATGTGAGCCTGATTCTACCAACATCTTTATTTCTTACACCTGACAAGGAGAAGAGGAGCAGATGGCCCGCACCTTGTCCGTGGCCAGTTCTCTCTTAATCCATTGCTTCCCACGTCTCACCATTTAAGTCATGACACTCACCTGCACTCACTTCTGCGTTCTTTTCTCTGCCGCTTCTGTGACCTACTTCTGCCTTGTCGGATGTGTCTGCATCTGGCTCACAGTGTACTTTCTTCCCCGCCCTATCGCCACCTCCAGTCCCAGTGTCCATCGTGACAAGTTCATATTCATAATCCATGGTTAGACAGCGCGACCTCCTGCTTTGTCTTTGAGAGTCAAACCAACTCTCTCTGTTCCGTGTTAGCCACGTAAACAGCATTTCTTGTCCTAAACCTCATCAGGAAAAGGCACTGTTGCCATTCCAGGTTCTCTTGCTTCTGTGACATTCCTTACCTCCAGTCCAGTGGTTCTCAAAGTGCAGAACCCTGACCAGCAAAAGCAGCTTTGGTATAACCCAAGTACTTGTTAGACGTGCGTGCACCAACCCCCCGGGTCAGAAACTCCGCAATGAGGCCCAGCAGCCTGTGTTGTAAGTGCCCTCCAGGAAGCTGTGATGCCCACTGAGGTGTGAGAGCCCTTGCCTTCACCCATCAGGTCTCTTCTGTTGCCCGCTTCCTTCCTCCTCGTCGTGCTTTGTTGACTCTAGTGGGAGACGTCTTACACTTAGAGCAATTGTACTGTTTTGAAAACCACCGTTACAGATAATTTTAGAAGAGCCTGTAAAACATCAAAATAATTTCCAGTACTCAGTGAGCTCTTTCCCATCTTGTTAATGATAACGAGACAGTGATGATCTAGATGGATGGAAATATAAATAATCCGTAAGACTCGGTTTGTTCAGGAGGGTTAAATTCCTCCCAGGGGAGACGGTTTTCCTACATGGAGTCTAGTACATTAACGCTTCTACTTCTGTGTGGGTTTGAACATGTCATAGGAACTTTAAAATAACAGTTACTCAACAGAAGCAGCATCGTTCTATCCCCACGTCATAGGAATGCAAATCAGGTTTCACTTTTGTCACTTGTCATCTTAGTCATAAATAGTATTAATGATGAATGTGTATCTATTGCATAGTTTCAATTTATTTCTACCAGATATGTCTGTACATATATGTGAGCAGGTAGGTAGATAAAACATGGTTACTAGTGTTAATGTTGAAGAGATGACCAAAAGCTGAGAAAGTTCTGTGGTTTGTACCTGCTGCTGTGTAAATGGACAAACGCTGTGGAAAAAAACGATTTCACGAGATCCAGGTATATGTCACCAGACATTAAAATATTGATACACAGAAGTTTCACTTACTGGAATCTTTCCTAAAGGGGGAGAATTCTAATTGCAGAGAAGATTTTATACAGGAAGGTAGTCAGCAGAGATTTCTGTTTTCATAATAGCATAGAACATTGGAAATCCTTTTGTGACCCATCGCAAAGAGATAACTAAATAAACTTCTGCATGTTCATTCAGTATAATTAAGACGATAACCATGCGAATTACATGCTTATCAAAGTTTTTAAAAAAACAGGACAAAATTTGATACACACAACTGTGAAACTTGTGGGGAAAAAGCTTTCTGTTAGGGTAGTGATATGATCAGTGTCTTATTCTTTTTTCTCCTACTTTCATGTTTTCAATGGAAATGTGTATTTAGAAATTACGAGAGTAGAATTTTCAAGATTATTTTTTCTCCAAAGTGGTTTGGGCCTTTGCAGTTTAGCAAAGGTACTTTTAATCCATAGGGAGCTAAATTTTTTGAGACTTAATATGTTCCCAAGAGAAGTAAGTCATACTGCCTCTCTGTTACCACCAAAACCTCTAGCGCTAAACCAGCTGCCTTGATGAACAGAGATTCATAGAATCTAAAGCAATCTGACTGCTGTTGTATTTTTTTTCCCTAATATTGCTTCTGTGGTACTTTTAACAGTTAAAATGTATAGCAGTCATTCCATTGCATCTTTGCCCCAAAGGAGCAGAACAGGGCCACAGCCCTGCAACCCGTCCTCCTCGGGTGGCCTTATCCGGGACTTTCACTGCACTGGGAACATCAGAAGTCAAAGTGGTTTCCCAGAGATGTATTAAACCTAATGGCAGCTGCATCGTCATTTCACCAACTGGGAACTTTCAGCAGAGCTACTTCCCACGGTGTGCATTTGAACAAGCTAAATTAAAACATGTTAGGAAGACTAGGGACCATCCATCCTGGGACGGCAGCGCGTTCACGTTCGCACCCGCAGCCCTTTCCATCCTGAAGACGCAGTTCAGCTGTGTGCTGCCCACAGCACAGCAGCAGCCTGAAGTCTGGTCTGCTCTCAGTAGTGAGGAGCGCTGATCACATTGTCAGTCACAGTCATGGGGACCACTGTTACCATCTGAGGCATAGAAGAGGCCGAGTGAAAAGAAGGGGGGAAAAGCACCCATAGTCTTCAAGAGTCAGTGCTTTATATGGTCTGCTTCACGTGAGGTTTTGGGTATCCACTATAGCCATTTTTCCTATGTTTGTAGAAGATTCAGGTCAAATAGCCTATGTCCTTGAACCATATGCTGTCTAAAGCCTGTCGGTTTATAAATTGCTCTGTTGAACATTTATTTCATCAGGCCACTTCTAACCGGGGGGAGGAGGGGCGGGCAGAGAAATCCTTCGCTGCTGTATCATCAGTGTGTGTAAAATTAAAGCCTTGGGAGGAACATAGCAAAAGGAAAGGATTATTTATCCAAGATTAACCTTGGAGTCATTTCTCTATTTTATTTCTACAAGTGAATCGTCTATCTTCCCGTTTTAAGGCAGGTAATCGCTTTCCTGGTTTCTGTGTTTCTGACTAAACATAACTTAGAGTCTTTCATGTGGATATTTATGCATCTGACTGGAACAGCTTTCAGCCCTCTTTAAAAATTAATTTGACTCTAATGTCTAGTTATCCAGAACTCCCCTGGGCTAGGGTGAAATCACACGGAGGGGGATTTTGATTTGACAAACGGCCGTTGTGCAGGAGGCTTTGATCCTCTACTAGCTGCCCCTTGTCTTGCTGAGCTTCAAGCAGGATCAAAGTCTGCAGCCCACACGGCGGGATCCCTGGTAGGCACTGCGAGGATTCTGGCACTTCCCAGCATCCTTGAGCTGCTGCAGCCCTCAGCTGGCACTTAAACCCCACCCCCCTACACATTTATCTACCTGGAGAAACTGGATGCAGGCAGAGGTAGGGAGAGGACAGGATGAGTTTCTCCTAGGACCTTGGTAGACTGTGTCCTGGTACTTGTTGAATGCTGTGAAGCCCTTTGCCCCCTGAAATAGGAATTCTGATTTTCCAGTCTCTGAGTCCTGCTCAGTTCTTCTAAGTTTTCAAAAATTATGAAGAAACAGTCATTTTAATTCTCATTTGAAAATCCGTGCAAAATCGGTCAGAAAGATGGAGACAAAATAGACAAATGGTCGAAGGTCATTGGAAATTGCTGCCTGGTGGTTAGACGCCGTAAAAGCAAAAGAACAAGTGTAGACTTTACAGACTGGCCTTGATAAAGGTTGTCCAGAGCATCCAGTCCCTGTTAGCAGGCGGTGAACGTCACCCTTCCCGGAAGGCAGGCGTGCTCTTAACTCCGTGTTCTCCTTCTCGCTCTGACAGACGGGGAGCTCTCCATATCGAATGAAGATGACTCCCTGGAAAATGGGCAGTCCCTGAGCTCCAGCCAGCTGTCTCTGCCCGCCCTGTCTGAGATGGAGCCAGTCCCGATGCCCAGGGATCCCTGCTCGTATGAGGTGCTCCAGCCTTCTGACATCATGGATGGGACAGGTAATGCCCCCTTAGACTTGTAGAGCTGGTCCCCAGCATGCACAGCATTAAGGACCTCCAGCCTGGCTGGACTTGGGGTTCTGTGTTGAACCACCCTGAGCATAAGGATCTCCTGGAAATGAGGGTGGAGCTGACCAGAGAGGGCTTGCTAAGTATAAAAATGTGGAAGGTATATACATTTATTTTTCTACAGTCTTTAAAAACATTTTTATAGCCTTAATCTCTTAAAGAAGGTTATATCTTGTGTTGTCACACTGATGATCTAAAATGTCATTGTTTTGTTTTCTAACACTCATTTCTGTTAGGCTAAGGCTGAAGAGTCCTCTCCTTCTCTGTGGTACCTGGTCAGTAGACCCTGGTATGCTCTTTGATCCTAATTCCAATATACTGGTTAGTAGTTATATGAGTTTAAGAGCATGTGCTTAGCATGCACAAGGTCCAGGGTTCATTCCCCAGTACCTCCATTTAGAAAAAAAAAAACCCACAAATAAACCTAATGACCTGCCACCCACCCCCAAAAATAGATAGTATAGCAGAATGATGATGAAAACAGGCTTTGAAAGGAGATAAAGCCTTCAAGTCGAAGCTGGTCCCTTGTGAATCCTGTGACCTTGAATAAATTACTTGACCTAGTGGAAAAAAAGTTACATCAATTTAGTAAATTGTAACAGCTTACTGCGTAAAATTAATTAGCATGTTAATTGTCTATAATTTCCCAGTTACGTTATATCCTGCTGACAGATGAATTTTGATGCCATCTGACTGTCACTGTCTCTTTGGTCCAAAGCCCTCTGAGTGGCCAGTACTCACTTCTTCAGGTCTGCAGACTGGTCCTCATTAGCCAGAAGATGGGACCCTCCTGACAGCCAATCAGGAGAGGTCCTTGCTGCCAGGAGATGAGCCTGGGGGAAGGGACCTCTTGGAATATCTAGAGTCTGGGTAGAAAGGCCACATCCTTCCTCCACACGGTGCGCAGAGTCTGCACAGGGGGAGGCTGGGCGGGGTGATGTTTCACACAGTCAGCTTCACCTTGGGACCCAGTGAGTTCTTGCTCCGTCAGTGTGTCCAACACTGATAATAACAGTGCCCTTGAGACAGGGGAGAATTGAGTTCTCATGAGGAGTATATACAGGACCTGGATGCTGCCAGGAACGCTGCTACCCAGATTAGGGAGGAAGAAGAGGGCAGGAGAGGAGTCATTTACAGACGTTCTTACTGTAGCAGCAATGGGGAGGGAAGAGATGCTTCTGAGTTGTATTTCCCTCCCCCTCCACACCGCCCCCCTCCCCTGCAGGGGAGATTGTTCCAGCTAAAGCAGTAAATTGAGATTTCTATCCAACCTCCCTTGTGGCTTTGGAATCAAATGGATTTGATGGTTGGAGTGAGATCTGTCATCCTAGGGAAGTCATTGAGTCTTAGTCTGTCATTGGCCAGGTTGCCAGGCTGGTGGGAGAGCCTACATTACCACCCGTGGCGGCTCTTAACTGGATCTGGTCCTGGTTCCCTGTGGGGGAGAGAAAGAGGCAGGCCCAGTGCAGAGCAATGAGAAATGGAGCGTAAGGGAGGGGAAGGAAGAAGATAAGAGATGTTGACTTGGAGCATCTTCACCTTGTCAAGGTGTACAGGAGCCAGCAGGGGCAGGAAGTTGCCTGTCAAACTGCAGAGCACCCCTTGGATGCGGCTGCCCAGCTCAGATGACCCCCAAACCTGGAGGACTCGCCACCCCAGGTGTGTGGGGGCCTTGTCCCCTACTGTGAGCCTCAGGCTGGGGAGCAGGGTCATAGTGAGACCCCAGAATCCACTCACTCTTCCTCCCCAACAAAGCGCAAGCAGGCCCAGAGGAAGGTGCCTGCTTTTGGCGCTGGTTTGGTTCAGAAGGGGCTCTTGGTCCTTGGTCCGCTCCACTTGCCGTCTTTCGATTGGTCCCGGAGTCACATGTTGGAGCACCCACAGAACTTGTGTTATAAACACCAGGAACTGACGGGGTGACACGTTGGACGGTTTTGAGGAAGTGTCCTCTTCCTTTTTCTCCCTCTTGCTCCTTCCAGCTTTCTCTGTTTTCTGCGTCTGCCTCCCTCTCCATCCCCCACCCCTACCCTGGCTTTATTGGATTTCTGATGTCCTCTTTTTAATGCTCCACCCCTGACAACCTGGGGCGGTCAGCACTCTGCTGTGTTGCTAACCCACGTCCCTGTCCTGTGTACCCACCGGCTCCCGTTGGACCTCCCTGCACTGCGTTTATGTAATGTCGCTGTGTGTCCTGTGGTTGTCCCCTCAGTGTCTGAAGAGAGTCCCTCTGCCAGTGAGTCTGGAGTCCTCCTGTCCCAAGATCCTTCAGCCAAACCAGTCCTGCTCCTGCCCCCCAAAAAACCTGCTGCTTTCCCTGGAGACCATGAGGAGACCCCAGTGAAGCAGCTCTCCCTTCTCAAGCAGCCCCCCGCCCTGCCTCCCAAACCCACTGCCAGGATTGCCAACCACTTAACAGGTGAGTCGAGACGTCTTCCTGGGGCCCCAGCCCCGCCCTCCCTTCAAGGGATCATTTCTTGCTGTCTTTTTTTCACCTGAGGCACCTCTTTGGAGAGGTTGCTCTGTGGGACGTTTGGGTGTTTCTGTGTGTGTCTTGGTACACGCAGTCATGACCTGGGTTTGTGTGTTTGTGTCCAGAAGCATTCAGTACACACCCACCAGTCATATGCTAAGAGCCTGCAGTCTTGTGCGTCTGTAAACATGTACATTGGTATTTATGTGGCTCAGTCAAGATTATTTGCCCATCTTGGTGAATTCGATTCATCATCAAAACTTTGCAGAGATAAAGAGTTGCACCTGTTCCCTTCATAATGCGTTTGCCAAAGCTTTAAAATACTGATCTGAAGCCCCGTGTATTTCTTCAATTAAAATTTATGTCTTTTCTCTTAAAAAAAAAAAAGGCAAAGACAATAACCTGCAAAGTATTATGGGAAACACTTTTAAAGACGAGTAAGCTGAAGAAGGTTGTCCTAAAATGACTATTTTTAATTGAAGTGCAGTTGATTTACAATATGGTGTTAGTTTCAGGTGTCCAGCAAAGTGATTCAGTTATTTTTTTTAGATTATCATTGGGATTAACAGATACAAATTACTGTACATAAAATAGATAAGCAACAAGGATTTACCATATAGCACAGGGAATTATAATAACCTGAAATGACTGTTATATGCTCATTGTTTAAATGTCACTTAACAAATGTACCCACAGTTATTAAATTGGGCATCTAGTGAAATTGCATTTCACCGCACATTAGCCTTGGGAATCAGATACTGCTTTGTGATTCAAGGTTATGGAATAATTCGAGATTCAAGATTTCACAGGGGAGTTTCTCCAACTGTGATAATAAACCCACCTGATACTGATTGACTGCCTCTTTACAATGTTTGTTATTTCTATAAATAGTTTCTAATTGATCTCTACACGTTTTTGTACAATGGGATGGAGGTGGAAGGATGTTCACCTATTTTATCATAAAAAGATGGAGATTTAAGAAGATAAGTGACTTTTCTAGGGCTGGCAGAAATTCTGCAGTAGAGCCATGATTAGACCTCGTGTTTCCCAACTCCTAGATGAATGAGTATCGTTTCCTCAGTGGCAGGATGTCTCACATGGTGCTGAGTTGCATTAGATCAAAATTCAAGTGTAAGTTTGTGTCAAGCTCCTCTGTCAACGTCCAGGTTGGTGTTTGTGGTTCATAAGAGCACATTTCCATCTAAAGGAAGTGTCCAACGCATCAGTAACATTCAGTGTTACTAATTTAAATGCACAGAAAGTCACAAAGGAAAAAAGGGAATTGTAAGCCTCCCTCGGAGACATAACCACTGTCCATCTATCCTCTAATAAAAATCAAACACCGTTGTACATATTCTTTGATCACCTGTTGTTTTGCTCTCAGTGATGTCTTGTGACCAGGTTCCCATTAGTGAATATTCCACAACATCAATTTGTTAGCTGCAAGGTGGGGATCAGGATTTACATGACGGACCCCTTAGGAGCTTTCTGTCCTCCTTATAAAAACACGGCATCTCAGCAGCGCGCATATATTTTTATAAGCATTTCTGAGTCTTTCCTCACTTATCCCTGGCACAAGAATTGCTAATTCTAATTCTAGAAGTAAATTGTGTATGCTTTAAGGGCTAGGTACCTTTTAAGACTGATGCCAAATTTCCTTTGGGAAAGTTTAAATGTTGAAAAACTTAACTCCTACATAGAGTACCTGTTTATTCAACACACCTGACTCTAGGAAGAATACTGTGCTAGGTATCAAAGCGGATACGGATATCTGAGACATCAATTTATGTGTATGATGTATTTTATATGTGAATATATAATTCATTAATTATTCAGAAACAGAGGGCCAGCCTGCCTACTGCCGAGTGCAATGCTCGCAGATCTGCCCAGTCTAACAGAAGTGCTCCTGGGGGGCCTGAAACTTGAGTCCACCCTTAAAGCATGATGGACTTTTGTAGGGAATGAGGAAAGAACATTCCAGAAAAGGAGACCTGGACAAAGGCCGGGGGCGGCCGTGCTTCGGGTCAGTGACGCGGAGGCAGAGCTGGCGTGGAGGGTCCGCCTGGGGGTGCACTGAGAAAGAAGGGGGTTCGCTGGGTTGGGCATGTGAGGATTTAGATTGGATCCCATGGCAGCTGTGAGCCTTTGGGGGTTTTTGAGCCGAGAAGTGAGGGATATGATGGAAACTAGCCTTTAGAATGTATTCCTGGGTCGCTGTGTATAGAATGAACCGAAAGAGGAGAAGATTGAAGGCCTGACAGAGAAGCCTCCGAGGCCAGCCCTGTGTCTCGTTCTGCAGAATCACTAGTTGAATTAAATCAAACAATTGGAGGCAGGGAGACTCTTCAAGAGGCTGTTTCTGGTGTGGAACTAGGAGCTGACAAGCATATGACTGCTAGCAGTGGGAAGAGAGAACAGGCCAGTAGAGAAGGCATTTTAAAAGAACTGACAGAATTTTTAA